GGCACATCGATGTCCTCTGGTTTTGAATATTTTCACGCATTTGATAAGAAAATACGATTATTTTCTTTCATTAAATGCAATAAAAAACATGGGTTCTCGAGTCTATGTCATTCATAGGAACGATCAAAATGGGTTATGTTTTAGAGACGTTGTCAAAATACCCTACACTTTTTAGGAGCCGGTGGTGTTATGATGTCCTCTGTTTTTGAATATTTTCATACCGGTTCTGTCAAATTGCAATCAGTAAGCGACCATACATGCAATAAAAACAGTGGGTTCTCGAGAGTAACGTTACGGAATAAGAGTGAATGCTGATACGATGTTCAGCATGTTAGAGCGCAGTTAGATCGAGTAGGACTTTCATCGGGCTGTGGCACATCGATGTCCTCTGATTTTGTGTGTACCAAGGCATTCTATAAGACACTGGGATTATTTACCTTCATTTAGTGGAATAAAAAACGTGGGTTTTCATGTCTGTCAATTAAAAATCCATCATGACGGGGCATGGAAGACGATGATGTAGGCTGAGGATAACGTTTAATGATTTAGGGAGTGACGTTTTATGACGTTTTATTACGTCATACTGCAGCGTGAGTAGCTACATAGCCCACTTCCAGCTGAAGAAAAGTTGTTACATGAGTTTGCATTATACATTGGTAAAGTGTCTTCACTTGTTATTTATTACACTATGACAAAGCTCACCTCTCCGCTGGAGTTCCTTCTGCGGGGGCCGATCACCGTCGGACGTCTGCGGGAGCGGCGCTTCTTGGTCTGGATCGTCTTCTCCACAGCCCCCGGCAGTGTAATCGATCTCTCCTCCTCCATATCGAACTTCCCACTTCAGTGGCAGATGTATTATCAACTTCGGCAACTTAGTGTCAGTTATCAGTAAATAACGGCGCAGAATGTATGCCCCAAGATGGATTTTAGTCTAGACTGCTCACCTCACCATTTTGATCATCAGCCAGCGCGTCAGCACCATCCAATTGTTCCCCTTTCTGATCAGTACGCTCTGTTTATCTCGCCACGATAATTTCCCACGGACACTTTCTCCAAAACGCCTCAACTCAAACTGACCACCTTCAATCACTCTTCAATCACTTTTCAACTCCCACTCGCCTGCCAGATCCTCACTCCCTGTACAGTGTCCACCGCTCACACAATCCTGTCGTCACCTGTCTGTTGCCTTCATCGCTTCCAGCGTACCTCCTTCCCCCTCCGCGCACTGTGTCCCACTGACGGAGTCTCTCTGCTTCCGAACAGTGCCCGCGGCACCGGAACGATTACCGACGCCCGAGGGCAGCCGAGCGCGATCTGCCGGTGGCGAGCCGGTGAGTCAGACTGAGCCGGACCGCGGCGGCTCGCGCGACTCAGAGACTCGGCGACTCAGAGGCTCACGGACTCACTGTAGCACAGGACAAAAACAGGAAGAAAGGGTAACTTCGTTTTGCAATCGGTGTTTTGATGATCGCCTATACAGTAAAAAATAAACTCTTTCCATTGATGTTAGACGTGCATTGTGTTAGACGTATACCCGGGGTGTTTAACCTTTCAATTTTGATAGTTTGAACTGGTGCTATAAAATCGACTGCCCTGCTGTTCCATCTGAATCTAACTCAATCAGCTCTCGCTTCACTTTGCACACGTTATGTTCACGGTTGACAGATGTTTCCAGTAGTTGATCCCCGTTTACTGCATCTTGTGGCAGTGTGCTGTTTGGGCCAGTGGCTTTAAAGGGACCCTCCCACCTTCAAAAAAGTTAATGAATTGACATGAAAGTGATGTCGCTCGGTTCAGAAAGAGCAAAAACGAATGTCTACCAAATTTCATCGAAAAATATTCACCGGTTTTCAAGATATTATACTTTTACTTTTGTTTACTTTTTGGGATCTCCGCTGTTCCTAGCGAGTTTATTTGAAAGTGCGGCATTTGTTGCGCGCAAAGCAGCATATACCACCGCGTGCTACAAAACGTTTTAGTCAAACATTTAAAAATCGTTAGATATCTGCGCTGACGTCACACATTCAGAGGGGTATTCCTATGCATTAGCCCCTCTGAATCAAAATGCTGCAATTTTGAAATTCAATATTTCCGATTTAAGGCATTTCTCGATGTTGTGAGTGCCGAAATCGGTAATTGTGAGCCAGGGACCCCATTTTGGCTATCTCAACTCAAATCTAATGTTAAGGTGGGAGGGTCCCTTTAACCCTCGCCCCGTTGGGGGGGGGGGCCATTTTGGCCCCCCCCCCCTGTGGTTTTTCCTGAATAGCAAGAAAACGGCGGCGCGCAGCGCCGCCAAATTTTCAGTACCTTTCCGGGCATCAATTTGACACCTTCACACCAAATTTCAAGTCTTAGGTCACCTTAGGTCAGGAGTTATTGAGGTCAAACTGAGGTCATGTTTGAGCAAAAATGAGCAAAAAACATGCAATCTTGAAACGCTCACCAAATCTACAGTTATCAAGCAATTTCAAAGTTCTTTATATGGTCTAGTAGACAAAAAGCGGCGCTACAAAACTGCTATCTCGGATTTTCAAAATTTTTGGTTTTTGACCAAAAAAAATTCAAAAAATTGATTTTTTTAGAAAAACTTTGAAAAAATCCAAAATTTTCCGAATTTCGAAAAAAAACCGGAATATATGTGATAGACCCAGCGCTTTTCTATATACATACCAAATTTCAGATCGATATCTCGTTTTTTGGCCAAGTTATAGCGAAAAAAACTGTTCAAAAATGATGACGTCAAATTTTTGAACTCAATTTTTAGCAATTCTAGACCACGTACGGCAAAACAAAGACCACCATTGAACTCCCCGTGACGAGCTGCATCGATTCGATACCCATTTTATGCAAAAATATTAACTTTGAAATTTGACCTAATTTGACCTGACCTTGACCTGACCTTGACCTGACCTTGACCAAAACGTGATCTAAGCTGGCCCCAAAGGCTGCCTGACCCATATAATCGCATTTGTCATGTAAAATGGACCATAAAACACGTATCACACGACACTTTCATATTGTGACCCCCCCGTGACCTGACCCCTGTGACCTGACCTGGTATCAGTGACCTCAAATAGCAAAATATGTGTTTGAAGAACATTTCCCCATCGATGATTTTCAATGAAATGCATTTTACTCGATTTTACAACGCATTTCTTGAAGTGCCTGTAAACGGTGAAAATTGGACCTTTGACCTGACCTGTGACGTCATCGGTTTGACCTAGGTCAATAAAATTGGGTCACAAGGTAGTTCCCCGTTGGGGCTATCCAACGCCGTTTACCGCTTGTCGCTATGTTGCGTGGTTCTCGAGATCTTAGGGGGGGGGCCAAAATGGCCCCCCCCCCCCAACCGGGCGCGTTGCTCGGCAGAGCCCAACGGGGCGCGGGTTAACGGTGAGTTGTCCACCTCATGCCCCTCCAGCGGTCGCGGTAGCTACCGAGACGGTGCCAAATCGTCAGTTGTCACCATTGACCCAGCACAAAGGAAGTTTAAAAGGAGTTGAAAGTTGATTGAGATTGAGCATAAATTCCCTATTAGCTAGATAAGTAGAATCGGGTTTAAACGAAATCACGCAAAACTTAAATAGCCAAAAAATGCAGAACGGACTCAGACAGGATAAGGACAGGTGCTAATTAAATTATTAGGCATTATATCAAAGAAAGGACATGACATAATGAGTCGCTCAGATGCAACACCACATTTAACAGTCTTTCTCCCAGCTTGACATGACGTCTCAATGGGCCTCGGTTGAAGCAAAACACGTTTTGAGCTCGTTTTGGCCAGCTGGACCTCGGCAATTAGGGGCCGCTGATGCATTGTCACGTTTTACAGCTGTTCAAATGTTCAGGTGTACACTGGACACCCATTGTCACAAATTTCCGTGAACGCTTCCTTGAGCTACATCAGTAATGGCACATACATACTGTGCGACCCGGGAAATGCAGTTTTTTTTCATTTATGATGTGACTAATTTACGTCCCCACTGCTGTATGCATTTACATTATACATGATGTCTGTTTCAACGGAAATCGCAAGATGCTTGGGGCCTGATATTTCGTTTGATTATTATTATAATAGAGAACATATCCCCTTGCGCTCATAAACATATCTAAAAAGTTTGTGTAACTTTTAAGCGGACAATCCGAGATAGCTAAATCAAATATCATACATTGGCACGGCTTCTCCACCTCAGCATGGCCATTGGTCGATGACTCGATGAATTCCGTCCTATTGCAAATTTGCGAGATCCTGGTTCCCAAGCACCGTGGCGGGAGCCTAAACTCTGGTCATACGGGATGTATGATGGATAATCCGCACCTTCCTTTAATCCCTAAAAATACGCAGATTACGCACCCAGACGATGACGAAACGATTGTAACGCAGACTGGCTGGATATCGGTAGGGCGATGTCGCATACACGCACATTCTTTCGAAGTTGAAACGATGTTTGCGGGAAATATTTATACAAGTTATATGTTAGAACGCTTTTACAAGTGGTAACGCTCTAAACATTTTCGTTTGTGTACCATACTAATCATACAAACAATACTAATCATGCACCCCATACCAACTCATAGCGCGATAGTTCAAGTACAGTTTAAAAGAATAGGAGGAGCCGTTGCAAAGGCTATATACCATCATCATCATCATCATCATCATCACCTTTCTTTTATTTGAAACATTTGATCCGTCTACTTTCATTCAAAAAGTGATAAAAATTGATCACCCATAACCGACTGTAAGTACTTATCATTAGTCATTCCATCAACGTCGATGGTTATGTTCAGGACGCATCACACCATCTATAATCACTTGACCTGGCCGGCCGCGGCTCACTCGCACGCGTACTGCCTTCGTCGAGTTACATGATCGCACGGTCGCGCACAGCCGAGGATTGAAAATGAAACCTTCTTGTAGCTCGTATGTGGTTAAATAAATTGCCTTCGTAGCAATGATTACTCAGTGTATCCTGTATAAATCACTAAACACCACATGCCAATTTTTACTTATGTATTTCAATACACGTCAAGCATGACCTATACAGACACGATTGTTCATGATATTGAGCCGTGCTAAGGCATCCCCGAACAATGTTTGCTTAAAAATACATTTAGAACGAGCAAGAGTCGATGTCCAGCTAGAAAAGTTCACAGATGTGTCGCCAAGTCCCTATCAAAATTACGCTATAAAAATATATACTTCCAAGATATTAATGTAATTAAAATGTATAAATCTTATAAGAACTAAAAAAGCTAAGGCTATAACAGATCTGGAAGAAAGGAGGAAATAATACGTTCTGCAGCAACTGTGCGTTTTCAGCTCAAATTAAACGATGTTGAATAAATACTAAACAATCAGCTACGTATTCTTACATACCAAGCCCTCTAAAAAAAACTACACCACATCCAAGAAGCTGCAGGCTGCTCCGGTCCTGCATTGGCAGTTCTCTCTCACTGGCTCACACTCATCACTCTTTGAAACTCACTTTACAAGAGCCGTGGCTCACTCAAACCACCACCGTCCTTTACAGACACCATGTTCTAAGCCGCTGACACTCGTTTCCTGGCTGCCCTCCTGAGTGGCTGCTTGACCTCTCCAGATCGGATATCCATCAGACGCCGGTTCACCCGGGGAACCAGTAGCACCAGCTTGCCAATCAAGCACAGCAGAGGGAGGTAGAGTGCGTACTGGAACATGGACACACGCATACGTCGAGTCAGACGTGATGTGGAAACCGGCCGAAACCGGTCGAAACCAGATACACAACGCAGCCGACACGAAGCCGTCGCTGCAAACGTGACAGAACGTAATCAAGGCCTCACTGCAGCAGACGTGAACTGTGCAGTAGCCAGTCACGTCGTACGTTGATTTTTAAGAATAGTTATTGGATTTCGCACGCAAAAATGTAGCATAATCGGCCAATGGAATCCACTTGAGACCGACGTTATAGGGGAATGTATTATGTGGCTAATGACTGAATATTGGCTGATCGTGTAGGGACTGCAACGGTCAAACATTATCATAACACCACCAATGAGCGCAGTTTCATTATTTGTCCCACCTGGAGTCCTGTAGGAAAGTAGCAGTCGTACGCTTTGAGCATGTAGTCCCAGCCGAGCACGAGGTTATGCAGGGAGCCAGCCACGAGGGCCGTCCACCCGAGCTTGGACTGTATGAAGGCGAACTCTCGCCAGGTGAGCCGATCGGTGACGGACGGAAGGGAGGCGATGCCGAGGATGGCCAGCAGACACAGAGTTACTGCGCCTGGAATAAACGGCAGGGACGTGAGTTTGTTACAAGATATATAAATAAACAAACAAGTACATAACATATATAGGTACGCTAGATTTGAAGACCAGCTCAAAAGTGAGCAATTGCACCAAGTGGAGAGAGAGAGAGAGAGAGAGAGAGAGAGAGAGAGAGAGAGAGAGAGAGAGAGAGAGAGAGAGAGAGAGAGAGAGAGAGAGAGAGAGAGAGAGAGAGAGAGAGAGAGAGAGAGAGACGAGGGTAGGGAGTTAGTAGGTGTAAAAGGGAAGAAGAAAGACAGGTAGACGGGAAGAATAACGGGACATCATGCCCTGCGACATGACTGCGGTCTTACCTAGGGTCAGGAAGACCTCTCCCCTCCAGTTGGGGTCGTGGCGCCAGAGGGGAATCTCCTGAATCTCGAACGTGCCGTTTATTTTGACCTCAGCACGGATAGTTTTCGGCGGCTCGAACAGCCAGTCGTACTGATGATGCGGATGGTAGATGCCCAGTGACATGCAGCCCTGTAAAATATGGACAAACATGCCTTCATCAATAGCACATCGTCATAAAAACAATGTCATTACAACCCAAACAGCTGCCTTTGGTCATAGACAACATTCAGCAAGGAGGATATGCCTGGTAATCCACAGTACCATGGTATAAGGAAGAGAGAAAAAATATTGAGCCGCCATCTTAGCACATGTGCTGCCTCCACGCGCGTGCTACCTCGATAGTTCGTGTTTTATGAGTCACGAATCATTATGCAGAACTGAACATTGATCTGGTTTACAAGTCCAACGGGCACTTAAAGCAAACAAAATTGCAATTGTTCTTATTTTGATACATATTAGCGAAAACGGTCTCCGTAGTTTTTAATTAATTTTATGTTCTCAATGCTCGCATACGAAATGAATTTCACATCTAAATTTATACCCCGATGAAGGTAAAAGAACCCATGTTTGACGTAAATCGTGCACGTACTGCACGCGACATCCGGCACAAGTACCTACTGACGTCCATTGATGCTATACAGCGTCGATGGACTTCACACTGAGTGGGTTCTGACTGACGTCACACACCAAGATCGTAGAAACACATAATAAATAATGTATGTGTCGCAAATAACTGTCGTAGCTGTAACGACAATGTGCCGACAGTATTTCACCATTTATCTCCATCTTTTTTCCGTTATGTTTACTTGATTTTTTTTAAGCATACAGGGCGCCAGGAATAACGCAAGTTCCATATCACTCACGTGCGTCGCTCCCATTGCCAGCATCAGCAGACCCAGCTGCTTCCGCATTCTGAGCCAGTTGTCTAGCCAGCGGGGGAAGCGACTGTACTTTGTGCCACGGTACAGCTGCATGAAGCCAGCGATTATACCTGGAAACGATAATAATTGTGAATTAGAGGCGCAATATACGTGTAGGCTACAAATACATGAGATAGGCTTTTAAGAAGTCTTTAATAAGCTAACGAAACTTTTCCATTGAACACTATATTTGTTGTGGCTTTGGTCAAGTTTATTATTGAAGGTATAGGCAGATGCAAAAGGGCAATGGTTCAATTGTAAGCGGTAATTGTCTATATGTTTATGTAATATGCATGGGACATTTGAATGTATTTTTGTGTTTTGAACTAAAATTACAATAATCAGAAAGACGCGACAACTCACCGGCCAAGTAGATTGCTCCGAGGGTGGTGAGGGCGACCACTCCGAGGTTCCGGTTGAAGTTGGTCATCAGGATCTGTTTGAAGACGGACCAGTCCCACGTCTTGTTCTTGGTCATGTTGTGGCACAGTTGAAACCTACAACCAGAGAAACGGTGCATTACATATTACGACGAGAGCCGCTACTTCTCTGCAACTACAACGTTATGTTTACCTTTATGAATCAAGTTAATTAAATATTTGTGAGAAGTCAGTAGAGCCAAAGGAGGCACGGTTTAAAACACCGTTCCTGCTTTGGAACGGTGTTCTAAACGGTTTAGAAGTGACGAAATGGAAGTCTCCACCCGGGTGAAGACTTCCACTTAGATATAATAGTTCATTGGTAATAGTTCATTGGTCTCCGTGTTTTCGCATTAGGCAGAGACGGGCCGATAAACAGCCTACGATTTAAACACCAGCGCATTCTGGCCAGATGGCAAATGACACGGGCACGGGCTCGTCAAGTCCAACCTCACGAATCTCACTTGATAAAATTGAGCACATATCCGACGAGAAACAGGACGGATACGACGATGAAGGCGCCGCGCCAGCTGTTGAAGAACTCCATGGGCACGGCCTCGATGTAGCGCGACTGTCGGAGCGGCCCCAGGTCGACAGGGGTGAATCCCATGTCACGAACCAACTGCGTGACCTTGGCACGGCCGATATCCGAATCGGTCGCGATGGGAACCTGGGGAGACACGGTAGGAGTTAAATGTTGATCGCATTACTGTGGCGACTGGCGAGTATTATTACATGGTTATTGTTCCGTGACATTTCTGTATTTAACGACAATCGGCCTAAACACTTTGCGTCATGATACGAAAAGCATCAACATTAGCCAGTGCATGCGATCCCAGACTCAGCTGCCTTTATCAACCTTCTCTCTTTCCCTCTCCCTCTCCCTCTCCCTCTCCCTCTCCCTCTCCCTCTCCCTCTCCCTCTCCCTCTCCCTCTCCCTCTCCCTCTCCCTCTCCCTCTCCCTCTCCCTCTCCCTCTCCCTCTCCCTTTCTCTCTTCCTCCCTCCCATGTCTCTTTTCTGCACTCGCTCAACATGGTCACCTCCTTGCTGCCCTGCATGCCTCCCGTCTCCAGACTGTAGGCCGAGAGGATGTTCAGGGCCTTCACCACCAGAGCCGACGGCACCAGCTGCTGCAGATACTCGGCGTTCGAAATCGGACTGAAGAAAAAAACAGATGGGCAGATTGAATGAGACACCGACATTAGGCAGCTCACTTTTCAAGCAAGATTGCACAGCGAGTTTGTCGTGAGTAGCACTTTACAGCAATATTTTATGGATGCCAGCTATACTGGGCAAAGGTTTGTGTTCTACATTATAGCCGGAATCGGGCAACAAGGTTACACAGGACGACGTTTCGTGACAAAACCAGATTCCACCACTTCGCTAGCAGACTATGGAATATGAAGGTCATGAAAATCGCCAACCGCATCCCGAAAAGGTAAACAAAATATCAATAGATAACAGACCAGTTGGCCTCGGTATAGGTAGTTGTTTGGATAGAGAAAGTCGTATTACATGCATTTCGAAACGGAATCAATGAATAATTCATACTATGAGCACGCCGCTTACTTACAGCGTCAGAAGAATTTAAATCGCACTCTGATAATGTACTTGAATAAGTAATTGCATCGCAATCTCCTATGCATAATCATTGTCAGCTTATGCGTCTGCCATAAGCATGGCAGTCTCACAGTCACATGCGTGTGTTTTTGGCTAGAGCATTAGCGTAGATAAGCGTTACAACAAACGTCACTTCATGTATCTCCAAATGTATTTTCCCGGATATATAATGTGCAAAACTACACAAGCAGCCGGACCTCCAGATCGCATGCAGGTTTGACGTACAAACAATCGCTAAACATAGACAAATATATTCGGTGGCGAGAGTGGTCGCATCAAATGTTTCCGACCGACCGGTGACAGGCACGCCACACGACCATGCTCCCACCGATATAACCTATGAGCTTTGAAGTTTGAATTTTGAACCCTCGCACTTATAGAGGGAGGGGTGATTGGATAGACCCAATCCCTTCAGATTCCAGCAATAAAAGTAGCCGGTTACAAGTGAAAATTGGCAATAAGAGCAAGAACAAGGACAGCAATAGGGACTGGGAGGAGGCCTTTCAGGACATGCAGCTGTTGAGAGATAACCTTGTTGACAGCTTCAAGCACGGGGGGGGGCTCGTAGGGGTCTGGACCCCCCCCCCCCCATTAGTTTCACTTCCGTAATGCAGCCTAATATATAAAAGTGTACATTTTTGGGTCGAGTCCCACCCCTCCTCCACATCATGAGACCGTGGCGGATCCTATGGCTTCGAAATAGCTTGGTAGCCTCAACATGTAGTTCGAAGACATTTCAGAAAAAAGCAAACGCACCATCCATTCACGGTTGCACCTAAACAAGCATGAAAACGCACGTGCTGTCTAGTGTCTACTGTGCACTGACCTCTTTCTGACGGCATCATCCGGGTTGCTGACGTCGATGAGCACCTTGTTGGCCAGCAGCTGCAGCGGCAGGCTGTCGTAGAAGCGGCGAGAGATGCACACCACCACCAACTCGGACGAGTTGACGGCGTCGGCCTGAGTGGTGACGGACGCTCCGGTGGCCTCAATCAGACGCAGCAGGTCCCTGTTGGAAGCGGGGCATCGGTTATTTGGCTTATTGCTGGGACATCAAAGTGATAGCCTTACAAACTCAAGAACGATGTCGGTTCGGGCAAGGTGAACGAGTGAGCGACATTGGGCTGAAGTAGGTCCTGCTGCGCCATCTAGCCCAGCTCCCCTCGACCTCAGAGCTCGAGTCCCATGGTCTGGCTAGGTGGCAGCACCAGTAGCAGCTCAGCACGAGAGTCACTCGGGCATGATTGTGCAATTCGACAGGGCGGTGAACAGGTGCGGCAGACCCCGCCCAGCTGAATGGGTCGATCGGCCTCTGGCGACAGCGGCTTCTGAGGGTGAAAGATCGGCACTCGAACGCATTAGAGCCCAATTCTAGGTGAGAGGGAGAAACGGTGACCCAGCAGAGTAGGGGAGAGCGGGGCCAGTTGAAACACGGGGTCAGATGAAACATGGCTTTATTTTCAACAGTATGCAACATATGGCGTTGCCGACACCACTGCGCATCCGCGCTCGACCACTTCCTTTGTCAACGGCGTTTGGGCGACAAACGGACGGTAATTTTGATTTGACACTTGTTTTTGTGTTTTTGAGGGGCGTTTGGGAGAAATCGTTCTTATGAATATTTTGTGCTATCTCATATACCTTTGTTTGCTGAAAGAAGAACTCCTGGCTCCGGAATAACACCTTATTTGGCCCTTCATTCAGCATGGTGCCGTCCCTCCAGCTCGTTTGACATGTGCTTTACGGCGCGTGCGAGATGGCGGGAGCGGATGGGGTCAATTGAAACGCTTCTCTGAGGGTCAGTTGAAACAGGGCCACAGGCCGTTTCAATGGACCCCGGTGACCTTTGCCATGGTTATTGTTCAGGGGCTGTGAACATTAAAGGAAATAGTCCACCTTTGAAATGAGCTTTTAAACTGAAATAATAGTTTAATAGAGCTCAATTTTTGACCCCTTTTTCTCCAGCCTTCTGCTTGAAAGCACACTATAGCCTGAGATATTTCTCATTTTTCTCATCCGCCCATTTTACCATAGTCTATGTACTTTATGTCACCTATTATGAGGAACTTTGCACTTTTAGCTTTCCAACGACCTATTGAATGTAGCATTTGGAAAAGTAAACCGGACAAAATATCTCCTTAAGAAAGTGGCCTTAAAGAGGAAAACATCCCATTGTTAAGGATAGGTGCAATTGACCCCATAGGCTGGTTCAATTGACCCTCGCATCGGGGTCATTTGAAACGGGCGTAGAGCTGTTTTATAAGCATGCGTTTGGCAGCAAAATATGTTTGAAACATAATTTTACGTATCTTAAAATAAAGCCAAAAGAGCATATTTTTTCATGGCATTGTGCATTTTTCGATATGACAACTAGATCTCGCTGTGCATGTCAATATATAAAAAGTGGTTCAACTGGCCCCGCTCTCCCCTATGGGTGGTCTACAGCGGTAAGAAGCTGAATAAAGTCACATTCTGTAATATTATATACGGATGCCCAGGTCCTGTACTGTTAGAGCAACAAAGGTATACAGCGCTGGTGCATTTTTTAGCATTACTGCGAAATATTTCCATCGTGGTATGTTCCCACGTGCGATGCATCTCGCAATCCATGGTCTGACTGAGTTGGTCTCGGCTTATCTTACCGAGGCGTCATCCATTTGACGCCAGGTTTACACGTCTGTTATGGTTCGCTGAGCTTCAGTGAGAAGTTTAAAGACGGCGTCCAGTTTTTACGAGCACGTCAGACAAGTTTCTATTTTTCCCTCAAGCTGAAACAACGGCCGCTCTCATGCTCGGGACACGCCGACATGTGCTGCTGATGTAATCTCCACGGCAGTTTTGTCCCAATTACGTCTCTCCCACGCCGAGAAAAAAAAAGACGACTGCACACTCATCTAACCATCTCATCTACCAAGTGGATAGCTGGGTGAATTTGTCACCCTTTCACCACCCTCTTAGCCGAGGTCGAGCCCTGATGTGCACCCACCGACACGCCCTCCCCGCAGAGAAGGGTGGGAGTGGCAGGATTCGAGACCGGCCTCCGCTCCCGGCTGGGTCAGTTCTAGCTCAACAGGTTTGGCGCAGCAGGTGGTCACATATACATGTGTTGCACTGCCTCTGTCCGCATCAGGGTCACTTGACATTTGTTTGATTGTTCTGCTGTATTTCAAGGAAGTGTTGACTGGCAGCTGACAATGGTAAACTTCCCGGCAATGATGCAAAGTTTCTCTATAAGCTTTTACGGTGTTGGCACAAAATACAAGCCCTTTTATATAACAGAAAGTACAAGACAAACGGTGTTTTACATCGCAGTCAAAGGTGGCACTGGGTCGGTAAACTAACAGGAGAAACATTTCTATGGATGCCTAGAAACAAATAGGATCATTGTCTTTAGAGAGGGTCAGTTTTAACAACGGCAAACTTTTCTGTCTGTCATTTGTTGAGGAAAAAAAAACTATTCAGCCCGTTACATGGGTTCGGCGTTAATAATCATAACCAGTAACCACGGCTCTCTCACTAGCCGAAATATATTGTAAGGTCGACGTAATAGCGAAATCGTTAATTGACGATGAGATGATAACATTGAAGCTTCTTCGAGAGAACGCCGAGCAAACAATGAAGCTCAATTATTTCATTGTTATATTGGTCACGAACTGTCTGAGAACGCGTAATAATTTATCCAACATTAATTGTTGTTAACTAAGCAGCGGTGGGGAGCTGAATAGTTTATAACACGCCTCTGACCAGTTGGCGTAAGGTTACGGCATTTAAAATAAAGCGCCGCAATACCATAGTTATTCGTCCATAAAACAAGTGTTCCTCTTTAATCTTAGCGACGGAGTAGCGTGACTGACGTTTCCACTGAAAAGTCTCGTGAACGTATAGTTATTATCAAGTGAATACACAAAAAAAAAATTCTACCCATTTGTCATGCCTTCAAAGGAGACCACGTCCCAAGCCCGACGATAACATGGACCATATGCCTTGGCCTAATGGCCGTACAACCCACATAAAAACACCCATTGACATTCACCCACGCGCCGCCAACAGCCCATGTTAGGTCGTCTCGTCTCTGTCACGGCCGAAGACAATGCCTTTGGTTTAGATGGTCAAGACGATACCGTCAACCTCCAACGTGTCCCCAATGTTGAGACCGCGAGTCTTGCTTCATGGTAAGATCACGGCCTGACAAACGCATATAATTACATGGAGTGATCATCTCAGATCCTGTCAACGAATTGGTTCCGCTGGCGGGAGCCAAATAATTCCTCTCCGACCTCATATGAGACCAAGTCAGAAGTAATAGCGGCACGCACTTCGCCATGGCAGGGTGTGGTCCGACCAATCCATAACATACCATTAGACCGTTCTTAAATTGCCACTAATGGCTCAGCGGGACGTAAACGTGGCAACGTGACGAAGGTACCCTAAGCTCCCAATGATCACCGACTCGTTTTGTTTATGAATATTTATGAGCAGTGGACGGCGCTTTCGGCGCACTCTCTGAGAGGCAATCTCTGGACCATTTCAGTGGACTCAGCTCACCATTGTTCGAGTTAACACTTCTAGTGAAGCACTGGAGCAGTTTTGGGAGAAGAGCGGTATATACGAGGCTGCCGTCATGGCAGCATAAGTGAAAACAAGGTCGGGACATGGTTGTTACTGCCTCGTTGGAGATGGGAGATTATTGCTTTCCTCACCGCGGTCTAAACTGCGGTGGAGTTTATGGTCATTAAATTCATTATCGGTGTCAAAACACTGGGCTCTCAAACCACCAGAAAATGAATTTAGAGCTTCGAGGCTCTTTTCTCGTTCCCAGAGGCAGTTTTCAAGGGGTTTATTATCTTGTTATTGTTCACTGGAGGTGGCTGACAGCAAAACTGACTTATGTATCTCTCTGTTCGTTTCTCAGCATGACCAATGGTTTGCTCTGCAACCTGTCAGATTCACTTGCTACACCTCGCCACAACTCATACTTAGCTGACAAGAAAGAAGTACCCGACGACTTTAATAAATAACGACATACCCTTCATATATCAAGAGCAATATAAACACGGAAAACATCCAGACATGCAGATGTGTGAGATTTGTGTGTTCCACTGTAAACATATAATGTCGTCGAGCGGGACAATCATTGCGTGTTTTTATATATAATAATCTAAAATACGCTACTTACTCCTGCTTCTCCTTGCTCCTAGTGCCGATTTTGACGGCAAATCCACTCAGGACAGCCCTGCGCGCAATCGCCCTGCCAAAGTCTCCGGATCCGAGCACACAGAGACGCCTGCCCTCGACCCCGGGCGAGGTCATCTCTAGGTCAGCGGGCGTCTCCGTGACGGGGTCGGCCGAGAACGCTGGGTTGCGGTGCGCCGGCATGGTGGCTCCGCTGCGGCCACCTCAGACGCTTCTGTGGGCAGGAGAGGGTCCATTGTCAGTAGCAGACACTACTGCGACACCCTGCCGGCATAGTTGTGAAACTGGCGAGGACGCTGGGGCGTGGCTGTGACCGACCGGTGACGTGGCTGAGTATCTATTCAGCGGCGCCAACGGTCAGGGGTCAGGCGCCTTGGGCGGTGGTCGGTGCTATAGGTACAGGCGCTGTTGCGAAGGCCTTCGATACCACGAATAAAAAGAACGTCAGCGCAGGAGCCGCAGAGAAGAATGCATCATCAGCAGGGTGGCTGCGTTTACGAGGCGGCGCCGTGGAGAGGGTAGGGATACAAGCGCGGGGTTATGGGAATGCTATGGAATGGTTATCGATGAGGTGTGTATTTTATAGGTCAGCTTCTGAAATATCGTGGCTTTTCGTCGGCACGAATGGATCAATTCATAGTTTATTTGAGATTCGTAAAGTTGAGGACATTTACCGAAATGCAATGATTACTCATATGTTCCGGGTTCAATTAATATGTGAAAGTTCAGGGACAAGCAAAACGCCAGCGTGTTTCAGAGCAGCAGCCTTGAATCAATCAAAAACATAATACTTGACACTCATAGGCTTGTATTCTTTTTGCAACTGCAGCCTACAAAACTGTTAATCTCCTTACTACGACCCGTAATTGCATAGCACAGAGTCATAATCTGATGTCGTTAATATGCTCAATAACATTTTAATGTGGCTGGTGGTATTCAATTTACCTTGATGGCCACATCAAACAATGGCTCCGGCTATTATCGTCCATTGAATCCGGTGAGGCTATTTATGTAGTTACAGGTCGGATCTTTTATATCGGACAAGACTTTAGACCTTTGATCTCAACAGAAGGCGTTTATCAGATATATTGTCGCATTTATTATGTTCACCGCTCCAGTGATAATTGATTGCCGCTCTTGGCATTATTTGACATGGCAAGTGATTGGCTTACATGTGGTCTTAGGCAATACCCATTGGTCTTCATGACCAATGAGAAACTGTTACCTTGGCGCAGCCACTCTCATAATGGAATAAAATACGTCACATTAAACGTCGCCTTATATGAGTAACAGAAAAGCTTACACATTTGCATTGCCAAGTTTCACAAAGCACAATAAGCATAGCTGGGTATTTTAAAAAAAAAAGCAAATGAATACTAATAAAGGTGACCGCTGACTCGAAAATGATCCAATTAGCTAGTTGCGTATCACGTCAAACAATTCCCAAAAATGATAAACGCTTCTCATAAGCAGAGCTGCTTATGAGAAGCGTTAATTTATTAGCTTTTCTTTTATTTATTAGCTAGTATAGCTAATTTATAAGCTTAGCTCTAAGCTAATCTCGAAGATTCAATCATTTCCTTATAAAAAGTTTTACAGCTACAACATATTTACGAAATCTTGTAAGACTGGTGGATTCTTTTCTAAGCAATGACAATGATGGCAAGAGCAGTGACATATCTAGATCGGTATCAACTCTAAGCGGCGCGGTATGCCACCGTATTACGTAATTGGGCGCTTTTTCCTGTGCTCGACTTTTTACACCGGTTCTATTCCATTGTCTTTTGCTTCAAAGAATTGTAAGTACATTCTCCAGCAAGCACTTTATGTGAATAAGAAAGCTATGAGAAGTGTACAGGGTGTTTCATAAAGAATGTCAATATTAAATTCGCCATATTAACCATATAAAACAATATATTTGCGTAATTTACAGATTCACATACACCAGAAGACTTGGACATTTGATTTTTGTCTGTTCACTTTTCTCTATCTAGACAAACGGTTCCACGACAGCCCAGTGAAGATCGACGCACTCTCGGTCCCGTCCAAGAATATGGCGCACGGCCCGGAGCACTTCTTCGCAGTCCATGGGGAGTTAACGAAGTCTTGCTCTAAGTCTGAAGTGAACTCTAAAGTGAAGGGTTAACTCTAAAGTGAAGCCGAAACTTTCTCATTAATTTTGAGATGTTCTTAAGGCTTCCGAGCTGTATCACCATCCACGCCTTCTGCTCTTTCGAAAATGGCGTATTAACCCTCGCCGGACCTATTGGTTTTCTACATACGCGCCGGCCGAGGGGGGGGGGGGCGGGTACGACCCCCCCCTCGCCGTTTCGCCCCTGGTGGAGCTAGCGCGTCGCGGAAAAAACGAGCGTGTGCGCCGTTACGAGACGCAGAGATTGGTACCCGATTTTAAGGTCCTAGGTCAACCGGTGACCTCTGAGGTCAGGTCAAGTGCCCCAAGGTACGGTTCAGTTTTTGGTAAATAACTTCGCAAAAAACGGCCGCAGAGCGCCGATTTTGGCAGCATCGTGTTCGTCTCGCTCAGGCGCGTCGAATGATATACTTTTTGTCCGGGTCAGGTCAACTTGGGGTGTTGACCTCAGGTCAAGGTCAAGTCAGCACCCCCAGGTCACGAAGTTGGTCGAAAGGGGTCATGTCGCATATCATTCGATTCGGCAGGTCTTCCTGCGTCCATTGGTGGCTTTCCCGACTCGCTAGCTCAATTTGATCCAGAGTTATTGACGAAAAACTAATATGACCTTGATGACGTCATAAATGACGTCACGCAAGGTCAACATTGCAAAAGTGACGCATCTAACCTTGCAAGGAGTGCATCAAATCACGATTCTGTGTGCTTGAGATAGTTGGAGATCGTTCCCGGCGCCAGAATAGCAGTTTTCATTTTTCCCCATTGACTCATAATGGTGAGGTCACGAAAATGACCTGACCTCATATGACCTTTAGGAAAAATCCGAGATATACAAGTTGTGAGACTCATAATGGATACTAGATCCTGCAAGTTTCATTTCCCTGTGACATCTCCTCTGGCAGTGAGGGCGTTGCGAAGTTGCGACATCTGAAGACCGTGCAGAGGTTCACTTATGACGTCATAGGTCAGTGACCTGACCTGACCCAAAAATGCGGTTGGTGTCAAAAGATGCGGCTTGGATCAAAGGTCAGGTATGCCAAGTTTCAGCTCTCTATCGCCAGCGTGCTCGGAGCTATCGCGAAAAAACCCTATGGGGGGCGGCACCCGCCCCCCCCCCCCCCCCTCGGCCGGCGAGGGTTAATCATTTGAGAACGGCGAACCGTGAGGTGAACCCGACATATCCCGTTCTGAAAAAGGAATGACAACAACTTTGGCATTGAATGCTATTTATATAAAATGTCCATCAATTTCCAACAATGCTTGAAAGTTTGCACGTGCTAGACACATTTTTTTCTTTTTGAACTCCCCAGTTTAAAATTGACATTCATTATGAAACACCCTGTAGATAGAAGGAATCGGAATCCGATGTGCTACGCATGCATTCTACCAAAAACTATCCGGAGAGCAGTTTATTTTAACAATTCCTTGTTATTCTTGAGGGTCTCTCACACTTGAGCAGTGATAATTGATGTTCAGAGGAAGTGGGTGACTCAAATGCATATCTCTCTGGGTGATCAGCAGCATCGATCGCCTACAGCATGGTTATATGTGCCAATGTAACACTGCTCTCCGAACTCATTTTACGACCCTCGAAAATACACTGCAGCGTCACGACCTGTCAAAAGGTAAATCCTTTCCACAATGGTAACTTGGTATCGACACCAGCAACCTTCCAATTATCTCCGTGGTTTCGTTCTCTCACACAAAACATTTTGCAAAACCCCGCTCACGGCCTTGACCTCAAAACGGTTTTGCACAGCTCCGCTCGTCTCTCGGTTGGCCATCGCCATCGCTTCTCACACTAGCGGAACTGGCGTGGCCCGAACCGACGCGAACGACAAACTGACGCGGCCTTGGTATCAGACTCACCCCTCTCCCCTGTCTAGCCTGTGGTCCGCGGACGAACGCGGCCCGATGCCGGCGCCCCTTCTCACCACTGCACCGCTGCTATAACCCTTGACCCCGCCGTGAGCCAGTGAGAAACTGGCGGCGCCGGCCGACCGGGCGCGGATCAACTCGGCCCGAGGTCAGAGGTCAACATGGAGGCGGCCCGCCGCTCTTAGCCCGCACACAAGGTAGCGAATTATGAGCGCCGGCATCTCGGGGCTATTCATGACTGAGAGTGTTGGAGTATTATCCACTGCCCGCAACCAGGTCAGGTGTGGGAAGCGATCGCAAGGCCTTCTACAAGAAGCAGCTCGGGCAAGCGGACATCGGGCCTGACGACGTTAGTGTTACCTTGCTGACCCGTGAGTGGATGCTGCAGCCCCGCCCCAGTGGCGGCATGCGACCAGGTAGTAAATTCACCTGCTCTAACCAGCGCCGTCGTAAATTTACGACCACCTGCTCTGCAGGCCTACATTGTAGGACATGCACATAAATATGTTTGACAACCACACCCGCTGGGTATGGCCTATTCGTCAGCCGGCCGCAAACGATCCTGTTCATGTGGTTTCTATTACCTTACTCGGTGGTTTGATGCAGATCAAGTGCTGCCCCCGGCAAAATTGAAAATTGGCATTAACTGCTCACGAGTCCTAGCTAAAACACTTCCATCGTTCACTAACAGCTGTTCAGAAATTTACCGGATCACCGGGCCACAGTCAGATGGGGTCAGACCGACCTTTAGCATAGCTGGCTGACTCATAATGGTGCTATACTGCAGAAAGGATCGCGCCGGCCGGACCTGTCGTATCTCACGCGCTCTCGCCGCCGCGAAAATTACGGCACATACGAAAGCACGACGTCGCCATTCGGATACCGTTGTAGCCATGAATTGAATCTCTGTATGGATGGCCTGTTCGACCCCGATTCACATCAGCATCGGCCTTGATCTCATCACATCGAGGGATTCTATCGTGTGTCCATGTTATGCATCGCGGCGGCAATCTACGGAGAATCACCAGCCCTTTGTGTCGTGTTCACTGAACACATCCTTCAGGTGGATGATTAAATCAAGGACCGATGTTATGCATCTACAAAACTAAACTCACGAGTTGGTGTTGGTTTCATGTCCGAAGATGTTCCGTGAGTTTGGATTTGGCCTTCACTTCCGAAGTTAATAT